TGGACAAAACAGAAACACTAAGCAATCAGGGCTCTGTGGGCTTGGGCTGGGACCTATTGTTGGCCAATCAATGAGAGCCAGAGAGATCTGGGTTTAAGGCATAGTCCTTAAGAAAGAAATCTAGCCTGTAAACCCAAGTTATCTTGCAAGGTTTCAGCCATCAAAATTTGCATTCCTTTGGGCAGAGCACCTGCAGGTAAGGGCAGGATACACCATGTGGACAGAGGAAAAGGAGAATGGGAGGGAAGGGGAGGGGAAGGGAAGAAGATGGAAGGAGCTGTGTTGTCCAACTGGAATTTGCCAGTTGGGTCCCCAGTGGGGCAGTCTGTGCCACTTACAGGTTGCTATTTATCCTTCATTCTGGAAGAAGAGGACCATGACATCAGGAAGGTCATGCCGTGACTTACACGTGAATTGCACTTAATTGAAGGAGGGCTGTGCAAAGTCACCAACCTTACAAAAGTGAACCAGTAGTGTTCAACTTTTTCTTGTTATTGTGCTTCTCAAGTTGTTCCCAAATACATTTTCTGTTTTATGATTAGCAAAATCTTCTTATGGCTCTCCCCTTTGCCTTAAGCTAGAGAACATTTAGAATTTGTATTGTAGGAGGAGTTTTATGATACAGCAATACCTCTGTTCTGTTTCTTTAAAAAAAATGCTAACGGACATAATGCAGTATTCTGTGGCATTATGCAGTATAGTAGAAGTGTCAAACTAAGTGTCTATGAAATATAAATGTATTTGAGAAATTAACAAAATAAGTAAACATATAACATGATATAGATAATATTAATTTGTGATTTTTTAAGTCAATATGTAACCCTTAGGCATCCATTTCTGTTTGAATTTTACACGACTGCTATGTAGGTTATATTATGACTTAATCTGCTACCATAAAGAGGTGATATTTCAATAATAGGTTTATTTGTAAAGGAATTCATTTAGGGCAATAAAATGTGATACTAGACTGAATTAAGATAGGCATGATTAGCTTCCAGGAATAAGGAGATTCATTTTATTCTGCCTTGGTCAGACCACACCTAGAGTATTATTGTATGTTTAGTTATGGGTGCCATGTTTTATGAATGTCATTGATAAAGCTAGGAATTATTTAGGAGAAGGAAACTAGGATTGTGAGGGCCTTGAATTCATGTAGTGGGAGGACTGGTTGCATGAATGGGGAGATGTTTGCTTGGTGAAGAGAAAACTGCAGGGAGGAATAATATCTTCAGGTGTGTGAAGGATTGTTTTATGGAAGAGGACTTAAACTTGTTCTGTTTGCCCCAGGGGAAGAATTAGGGACCTTGGTTGGAAGGGAGAAAGTGACAGATTTGGGCTTTGTGTGAAGAGAAACTTCCTAATGATGAAAGCTCCATGGGGAGTGAGTAGGTTTTCCTCCGAAGTCTTCAAGAAGAGTGTGAGTGACTACTTGTCAGGCCCATTTTAGCTGAGATTCTCTCTAACCTCCCCTCACCATCCCAGCCATTTTCCTTGGATGAAATATTTATCTGGTAGTTTTTGTTTTCATTGTGGCACACTATGAACCCTCAGGGCTATTGTGACTGGTGTTTTTTTTTTTCCTAATTGACTAGTTATTTTATGCTTTCCAAGGGTTTAAGGGACAATTGCTCATTAAAGTCTTATAATCCAGGTACTTTCTTATACAGTTTAGGTAACTGGTCAAGAGTTGAATAGTTTTTCCTGATGTCCTAGATAGTAAGTAGCAGTGCCACTGAAGACTGTAGTGGACAGCTGGGGAATATATGCAGTGAATGAATAAATAAAAAAGCATTTATTAAATGTTTACTATGTGTAAAGCCCTGGGCTAACAAATAGAAAAAGTGTCAAGGAGTTCACACTCTAATTGTGGGAGACAACATATAAAAGATAGTTCAATTGCATGGCGGAGCCTTAAAAGCTCAGCAGCAGGGCAGATAGAAAGGCCTAGGCATCCTATGGTTACATTGGTAAGTCAGATAACAGTACGTAGGTATGCTATGTGTCAAGGCAGGGGAGATGATAAGGCTGGAGGAACTTAGGAGGCAATGGCAGGACAGATGACAGATAGTAGATGACCTTATAATTCTTCATCTCACTGGAAGGAATAGAGTTGGTGACTTTCATCTTATCCAAGCCATATGACATGACAAGCAACCTGGATAGGTTCTGGGAGGCCCAGCGAGGGGAAGGTAAGGGAGAAAAGGCATCTCTGATGATGGCATGCACAGTGTAAAGGAATGATTGATTTTTCTTGATGGTACATTAGGAAAGATTACAGAATCATGGATTTGAGAACTGAGGGGGACCTCAACAGCCAACAGTCCAGTGCGCACGCGCGTGCACACACACACACACACACACACAGAGTATGTGTGTGTATGTGTGTGTTGTGTGTATCTATATATCTATATAAAATTATCTCCATTTTATGTACCTGACAAATGGTAATTTAGCCTATCCTTAAACTCCTTGAGGGAGGGGAAGGCAACCCCTGAGCTGTCTTTGCCCCTTCTACTCTTTGTTGTTCAGTTGTTTTGGTTGTGTCTGACTCTTTGTGGCCTTATTTAAGGTCTTCTTGGCAAAGATGCTGGAGTGGTTTGCCATTTCCTTTTCCAGCTCATTTTATGGATGAGGTAACAGAGGCAAACAGGGTTACAGATTGCCCAGGGTCACAGCTTGTAAGTGTCAGAGGCAGGATTTGAATTCAGGACTTCTGAAGCTGAGGCAAACAGGGTGAAGTGACTTCTCCCAGGGTCACACAGCTAGTAAGAATCTGAGGTCAGATTTGAACTGAGGAAAATGAGTCTTCCTGACTCTAAGCCCAGCACTCTATCCACTGTACCACTTAGCTGGCAAACTAATATACAGTAACCTCACCTGAAAGTATATGCAAATTTCACATCTGCAGCACCTCTCCCCCTTCTCTATTAAAAAAAAAAAAAAAAGAAAAGAAAAACACCCAGATATCTGTTTTTCAAAATTGTTCTCCTGGTTCTGCTTGTTTCATTCTTTGTTAGTCTATAATTTTCAGAGTAATATTAAGCTTATTGACCTATAGTTTGCTGATTCTGCTTTGTGCCCTTTTGAGAATCAAGGACATATTTGCCCTTCTCTAATCTTGTGGTACCTCTCTCATTTTCCATCATCTGTTGAATATTGCCCACAGTGGCTCAGAATTTATATGTAGTTCTTTCAGGAGCTTAGGATGTACATACTTCATATGAAGCAGATTACTTGAATTCATTAAGGGCAGCTACGTGCTCCCTTTCTTCCTCTTTGTTTTGGGCATCACTTCACTATTAGTCATTTTTATTTTGTCATTTCCAGTACAAAAGTTATTCTTCTTGACAGAAAATAGAAGCAAAAGAGGAGTTAAGCAGCTCTGCTTCTATTTTTGGTCAATTATCATGGTCCCATCTATCCTAAGCAAAGGTTCTGTCTCTTCTTCGATCCTGTTTTTCTCCAGTATAGTTAAAATAAAACGAAACAACAAAAAACATGTTATTGTCCTCAGCTTTTTTCGCCTGTCCCAGCTCTTTATGACCTTGAACGTTTCTTACACTATTTTTATAGAAGCCTACCATCTTATATTCATCCTCTCTTACCTAGTCTAGCTTTGATCTTTACATTTGATTTTAAAATCTAAGTTGGTGGGTGAGTTACCTGTACGTCTCCGTTAATCTCTTTAGACAAATCCTTTCTTTCCTTCTCACAGGAATCATTTTCCTTTGTGTCTAAAGGATTTTATTCTTGAGTATGGTCTATTCCTCCTAGGCTGACTTCCTGTATAGCATTTAATCCAGGGGATCTTACTTATCTCTACTGTGAACCTTTTGAAATCTACTTTCCCCAAATTTAGGATGCATGTCAGACTATGCCCAGATTTCCATTATTTATGTTTCATAGTCTCTAGAATAAAAGTGGTCACTTCTAAACTTTATTAATTAATAAACATTGCATGCAGAACAATTCTGTAAGTGAACACGAGAAAGTTTTATAAGGTAACAACAGAAAACATATACCTTAACCTTTACCAAAATTGGAAAAAATATGAAGCATAAATTATGATTTAATGATGTTTAAAGAAAATTGTTAAATTCCTTTAAAGTCACTAAGAAAAAATTATTCGAAGAAAGAAACACAAAGACTTTACAAAAAAAACCATTTTTTGTTATACAAGAACGTGTGTTTAATTCCAGGCCTTTTGTCTTTAGCTTTCTTTGTTCTTCAGATGAATTTTAGTGAAAATTTTGAATCATAACCAGGTATTTATTTTTTAGAAAACTCACATTAAACTGTTTAGTTGCTGTATTACCACTCCTGAGTGGCAAAGAAAAAAGAATACAAGAAAAGTAGTTCCACAAAGTTCCAGAAAAACTAGAACTGTTTTACTCAATCACAAAATATTAAACTTAATCTGTTTTTTAAAATTGTGTTCGAGAATATGAAGAATAACCATGATTAAGAGTCACAAATGACTGTAGCTTTATGTTAGATTCTGATATGCTGGTGGCCTCTCCCTTTCCAAATAATATAGAGCTATTCTAGCTGTAGTTCAGTTGAAGTGTTTCATGCTTACCATCCTTTTGCATTCTTCACATTAATTGCTACCTTCAGGGTCACTGCTATTGCTATTAATCTTTCTTCCCACTCTCTTTCCCTTACATCTTCAAAGTTTGTTGAGAACATGGCATCAAACTTTGAAGAACTTGCATAAGTACAATTGGATAAAAATGTTAAATATCATTTTGGTTTTCTTTTAGTGGGTACTCAAGTCTAGTAACTCAACTGGTTCTTGTAGAATGAAGCTATCTCAGTTATTTACAGTTGTAATTTGCTGTCACTTGCCATATGGTCTCTTATTAATTCTGCAAGGACTGTCAGCTTCAGATAATTTAATTTGGTGTACTTTAAAGTGACATTCAGTATGAAGACATGACAAATTTGAATGATTAACTGAAAATTGTGACTAATAATCAATATATTTGTTTTGTTTCTAGAGAAAAAAATAAAGCCGAAGCCAGGGATAGAAAAGTGTTAGAAATTTTGCAAGTCAAAGATGCTAGAATAAAGGAGTTGCAAAAGGTTGGTATTAAGGTTTGAAAAATATTAAATATTATTGTAACTGTAATCCTCCAGTCTTTCTGTTGACCTCCAAACTTGCATCTCCAGCTGCCTTTCAGACATCTCAAATTGGATATCCAGCAATCATCTTCTGTCCAAAACAGAACTCATTATCTTTCCTCCTCTCCTACTTTCCCTAAGGGCAATACCATGTAGTTCCTCAAGCTCACAACCTAGGAATCATCCTTGACTCCTCATTATCTTTCACTTCCATATCCAGTCTGTTGCCAAGGCCTGTTGATTTCACTTTTGTAACATTTCTCAAATATGCCCCCTTCTGTCTTCTGACACTGCCACTACCCTGGCCACTATCCTTGACCTGTCACACTTGGACTACTGCAATATCCTACTAATAGGTGTGTCTGCTATAAGTCTCAGCTCCATCCAGTCCATCCTCCATTCAACCACTAAAGTGATTTTTCCTAAAATTGCAGGTCTGATTATGTCACACAGTTCTCTCTGTTGCCTTGAGGGTCAAATACAAAATACCCATTTGGGCATTAAAAGCTCTTTATATCCTACCCACTCCTTCCTTTCTGGTTTTCTTACATCCTACTCCCTACAATGTACTCTTGGATCTAGTGACAGTGGTCTCTTGGCTGTTCCATTTCTAGACTCTGGGGTTTTTTCCCTGCTGTCATGAATGCTTAGAATGCTCTCCCTTTTGTGTTTCAACTACTGACTTTGCTGGCTTCCTTTAAGCCCCAACTAATGTCCCACCTCCTACACAGGAAGCCTTTTCTAACCCCTCTTAATTTTAGTGCCTTCCCTATGTTAATTATTTCCTGTTTATCCTGTATATAGCTGCTTGTGCATGTTTGTTTGTTTTCTTCAACATTAGATTGTGAGCTCTTTGAGGGAAAGGACTGTCTTTACCTTCCTTTGTATCCCTTGTTTTTAGCACAATGCCTGGAACATAGTAGGTGTTTAGTAAATGCTGATTAATTAATTGTTAATTGGAATTTGAGGATTTTCTTTTTAACAGTATAAGCAATTTGAATTGACTGTTTAGTTCATCAGTTTGCTTTAGTGGTAGTAGCCTATGGTATCTGTTTTGAAAAGATATAATTCTGAATAAATATTATGAATAAATAGTATGATTTTGTGAAAATAGTTCATTAGACAAATATAATTTTATTACACTCTACCTTTTATTTTTAGCATTCCTTGCATTCTGGTCAGTATTTGAAAGTATCAGATTTTCACATGAGTCAAACATATTATAGAAACATCTAGGACATATTTGAAATTTAGACTCAGAATATTAAAAAAAAATCCCCAAATTTAGTATTTACAAAGAGCTATGGAGTTCATAGAATCAATAATAGTTTATCTTTGCAGAGAGTTTAGATCATTACTGCAAATCTAGTACTGAAGAAAATTTTCCCAGCTTGGGGCAAAGTCCTACCAAGAGGTAGGACTCTTAGAAGTGAGACTTTGAGAAACCTAGATTTCAAAGTGGTCTGCACAACCATAAAAAAATTTAAATATTTGTAGCAAGTTCCTTGCTTGTAGACTAGATAAAAAAATCATTAAATCATGCTTTTTATCCCTTACTCTTCTTGACATGCTCTAGCTGTCTGGTCAAACAGGCCTTCTTTCTATTCCTCACACACAATACTCCGTCTATCATCTCTGTGCCTTTCACAAGTTGAACCTTATTCCTAGAATATACTCCTTCCTTACCTCTACCTCTGAGAATTCCTAAGTTCCTCCAAGATAAGTTTAAACACCAGTTTCTACAAAAGGACTTATCTGATCTACCTTAAGTACTCCCTTCTCCAAACTGTTAGTGCCTTCCCTCTAAAATTATCTTGTCCTTATTTTTTATGTATTTTGTATATATTTCTATATGTACATGTTGTATCTCTGTTACTCCTTCTTTATTAAGCACTTATGTCCCAGGTACTATGCCAGGTGTTGGAGATCCAAAGACTAAAATAAATATTCCCTGTCCTTATTGATGTTATGTTCTATTAGAAGATATGAATATATGGGAAAATATTCAAAATAAATATAAAATAAATATAAAATAAAAATAAAATAATAAAATGCTGGTGATGGTACCAGCATTGGGGTCAGAGAGGGATAAAGAAAAGTTGTAGATGAGTTATGAAAAGGCACTAGGGATTTTAAGAGGTATAGGTGAAAAAGGAGTACATTCAGAATAAAGGGGACACAGCCTGTTTAAAGGCATAGAGATGGGAGTGTGGAGCACTGTAGATGTGGTGGAGGAAGACTAGTTCACCTTGACTGAGAGTATTTAAAAAGAAAAATAATATCTTATATGGTGAGAAGGGTGGCTTGAAGGTTGCAAATGGTTTTAAATAGAAAACAGTGGGTTTTATATTTGGTCCAAATGATAGAAAGGAGGTACTGGAGTTTTTTGAGCAGGGGAGTAACATGATCAGATCTGTGTCTTTAGCAGAGTTACTTCCTGCAGTTGTGTGAAAGATAAATTGGAATGGGGAGATATTTGAGACAGGGAGACCCATTAGAAGACTTTTGATACTCCAAATAAGAAGTGATGATGGCCTAGATTAGGGTGGTGGCTGTGTGAGTAGAGAGAAAAGGATGGATGTGAGACATATTATGGAGATAAAATGACAAAGATTTGGAAACTAATTGGATATGTGGGGTGAAGAAGACTGGATAAAGGGGTATAGGAAGAATAAGGAGATAAGGACGACTTTAAGGTTGCAAACCTAGGTGACTGAAAGGATGTTGAATGCAAATTTCTATGTCAAATTGTGACAAATTGTGACTATTGTTATGTTTTTCTCTTTGAACTCTTAGGTTTGTCAACCATTTTTTTGTTAATCAATTAAAAAACCATAACAACTTAATATGAAAATAGTCTCTTAAAAATACTACATTGCTTTTTTAAAAGTTCTAAAATATGAACTTGGTGTAATCAGTTATTGTTTAAGAAGAACTCAGGTAAGGTGCTTAGTTTGCTTTGCTGCCATATTTACATTTTGCATTAAATATGCTTATATTTGAAAAAATAGAATCTGTATTCTTATAAAAAATTGGAATTATGAATTGTTAATTTATTCAGGATTTTTTTATGATTGTCTTCAATATTATCATGGTTTGAGATAATCACAATTTTTACTTATAAAACTCTTCTGTACTCCTCAGTTCATCTGCAATTCAATTGGTTTCTATATTTCTTAAGATAGGAAGAAATTATACTTGCAACTTGTTTACATATCATCTAAATTGATTTATAAGTCAGGTAAGTATTGTCATAAGTTATGTTATAAAGTTTACAATGCTTTATTTTATGCATTATATTTGGCAAGGTTTAGATTATTATAGTGTACTGAATAATTAAAGTAACATTGCAATTTTTAAAAAGTTCTTGGCTTTCTAAGACCACACACTAAACTTTCTTTTTTTTTCTTTATTATTCTCTCTAAAATGGTGATAGTTCCTACACATATCATTTTTGGGTAGAACTCTTAGCTCATCTTTAAGATCCTGAATTTTCACAACAAATATACTTTTAGCTCACAAAAGTTTTGAAAAATTAAAACTCCGCTTCCAGGAGCCAAGATGGCGGAGTACGAAGTAAGTCGCTCTTAGCTTCCCTTATCAACTTCTGAAAGCCCAGAAAATATTGCTCCAGGAAAAACCCTGGCACAGCTGAACCAGAAGAAAGACAGGGTGCAGCAGTCCACTAGCCTAGATAGCTTGAGGGATTAACGGAAAAGGCCCCTCTTGCCTTGGGGGAAGGGGAGCAGTACAGAACAGGAGGTGTCTCAGCAAGCTAGCAGAAAGCCCCAACTCAGCATACCAGGAGGAGATCCTGAAACCCAGGGGGTGGAGCAGGCAAATACCAACACTGGACCTCTGAGTGCCTCAGTGAGGGCAGGGGGAACCTGTGGAAACCAACTCAGAAAACCACCAGGTACCTCTGCATTCTACAGCAGTCTCCCAGTGCTTCAGCAGAACTCTGTGAAGTGTTCCAAGGGGCCCCAGGAAGATAAACATCCTGCAACATCTATCTGAAAGGAGCTGAGGAAAGCTAGAGGAAAGGAAAAGCAGGCAACCTCCAGGGGCCAGCCTACCCAATCCTACCCCTGGAGTTCCAGTGTTGCTGATTCCAGCCCATTACCAGGTAAGCTGCCAGAACCCTGCAGCCTCCAACTACCAACATCAGAGGCCCCAGCTCACAAAGCCAGTGACCAGACCCTAGGCTCCCAACACAATAAGCTTGGGTTAGTGCCCTCTGCTCCCCAGCAGGAGAGCTCAGTCTCTTTAAAGGCCAGGAAATAAGCAAACACCATGAGCAAAAAGATTTTTTTTTTTTACCGTAGATTCATATCATGAGAACAGTGAAGATCAAGGCAGAAATTCTGAAGAGGACAACATTGTCAACAAACCCACATCTGAAACCTCAAAAGGGAATATGAGCTGGTCTGAAGCCCAAAAAGCTTTCTTAGAAGAGCTTAAGAAGGATTTTAAAAGTCAAATGAGAGAGGTAGAAGAAAAAATGGGAAAAGAAATGAGAGGTATTCAAGACAGAGTCAATAGCTTGGAAAAAGAAGGATATAAATTAACCATAGAAAACAAGTCCTTAAAAAATATAATTGGCCAACTGTAAAAAAAGTACACTGAAGAAAAAAAGTCCCTAAAAAATACAATTGGCCAAATGGGGAAGGAGGTTCAAAATCTAATAGAAGAAAACAACTTGTTAAAAATTAGAATTGGGCAAATGGAAGCTAATGGTTCTATGAGACAGCAAGAATCAGTCAAACAGAAACAAAAGAATGGAAAAAATAGATGAAAACGTAAAATACCTCATTGGTAAAACAACTGACCTGGAAAATTGATCCAGGAGAGACACTTTAAAAATTATTGGTCTACCTGAAAATCACGAAGAAAAAAGAGCCGGGACAGTATCTTTCAGGAAATCATAAAGGAAAACTGCATTGAGGCCCTGGGATCAGAGG